AGTTTACATCCATTAGCAAGTATTTAACTTTTTACAGTGGTACATTTGACATTTGAGCAGTTATACTGTGATTATATGCCCATTTCATTTCCCAATACAACTTTCATTGTGAAACTCATTTTCTGTTGAGCCATCGATACATATTTCCGTTCGTCCGACTTCATTCATTCTACACCATGCCCTTCCTTTGATCTTCTGTTGACTGCTGCCCGTATCCTAGCTCATTTTTCTGCGTGCTGCCATCCCAAAAAAGCAGCGAAACAAAATCGGGCGAAGACGCTCGGAGAGCATGGGCAGGACGTCGGTACCGCGGCCGCTAGCAGGGTGGACGAGGTGGAGGCCGCGCGCGAGAGAGCAATGGGGGCCCAAAAATACTGGTACTTTGATCTTTTTTTAATGATTTTGGCAAACTTTTACTCGTGACCAAATCAGGGGACACTACAGGAATGCTGGCAATACAGGGTACAAGCATTTCCGGGTCAGCGCGTGGCATGGTGGAAAAAGTAGAAGTGGGCGAGGCAGGGGATTCTTCCGATACTCTGAGGACATTAAATGCCTTTTCTTCGCGCATGTCCGCCCCCCGGCCCGTGGTATCATCAGGCCACCTGATTTCGCCTGCTCGAGACCATTGTTTGCTTACATCGCAAGCTTGCCTCCGTCGCATGTCCCCCGAAGCGACCCGGAACATGGAAGCACTCGAACTGTTGCAGGGATGATGCGTCGACCTCAAACGAGTTACGTCAGGACGGGTGGTAACGTGCCGGGAGGGAGGCGCGGGTTCAGTGACACAGAGCGAAGCGTACTCGTTTGGGCCCATTTTTACAACTTGGTGGTCTGAGAGATAGAGGGTCATGCGGCCTTGGCGATCGAATATCTGGGCACGATGGTAGTCAGGGGAAGAGAGCAGAGGGAATGAAAAGAGGGAAAAAGGTACCAATTTAAGGCTATGTCATCACTCTGTCGAAGTTTCTACAAAGTGATTGGGCCACACGACAGAAGTCAATCAGAGAGAGCCCAACAGACATAGCATGACCAGAACCACACAGCCCGAAATACAAACACATGACTAGGCTCACGTGAATGTGTCCGTGGCAGGACCCTACCTTCAGGAAAGCCGTTCGTTTCATAAGACTTGTCGACAGCGTCGCAAAATGGAGAAGCTTAAAGTAGGCGAGGCGATCTTCGGGAGCGACGCCTCTATGGGGACGTGGATGCAAAGAGAAGCAAACGAAGGGTGGGCGAAAAAAGATAATTGAGCCGCCTTCGTGTAAGCAAATGATGACTGGGTAACAGCCACGCCCAGCCAGCATTCTCATCGCCGCATGATCCTACCATCGACTGTGCCCACACTTTCTTTCTTCCAGATCCTTTCCACCCCTTCAGTTTCACTCACGCGGCGAAGAGGAAGGCTAGCAAACAGCGCCGCTTCCACATATCTTGCATAAACTCGGCCGGGCTTCGAAAATAAGTGTTGTGGGCCTTGTTGCTGATCACCCATTGGTCCTTGCAATCCATTCTAGCCATGTAGACTGCCCGGCTCGAGTTGTTCGCTTGTCGGCACACCAAATTTTCTTCCAGGTCTGCGACACACGGAGACAAAGGGGAGGGGCAGGGGACGCGAAAGGAAAAGGAAGCACAGGTCAAGCGCAAGCGGACCGGAAACGACGGGACCGTGACAGTCCGACTCAAAGCAAGGAAAAAAGGAGAGAGAGTGCTGGATATCTGGTGAGGGTCACCATGTCCACTGGCACCGTCAAGGATTGAACTTACGCTTGGCGCCTTCTCCCAGCACCCGGTCTGCCCGCGCGGCCCACAACCGTCCTTTCTCTGCGTGCAAGGGCGGTTCATAGGCAAGGCATTCTGGGTCCTCCAATTCAAGGTCATTAATTTGAAAGGCAGCTTTGACCTGTCCGTGGGGGGGTATGTCAGGCGCGTGCGATGGGAGCTTGACTACTGGACCTGTGTGACCTCGAATTGCTTGGAAAAGATACATTCTACCTGACCATTGACACATATCATGAAATCTCTTGGACAATATATCTGATACCTACATGACTATGCACGCACCATACACCTTCTGCGATGCCCCCGGCTTACCTCCGCAAAGGCCCCAAATGTAGGGTCACAATCTCCATCCATCATCACTCCCAGATCTACCCAACTCTTCAAAAGGCCGATCGCCCTGTTTCGGCTCAGCACTCCCTCCTGAAAAAGATCCTGGAAGGCCTGCAGGTACATAGGAACCATGGCCGGGAGGTCGCTGCGTTCTATGACCAAGTCTAGGTAGGGGGAAGACTGGAAAAGGAGGGAGGAAGAAGAAGTGCCTCTCACGGGCCTGCGGGAACCCTGAGTGACCGTGGCGGGTCTACAGGGCTTGTTGTACCGAAAGCATCTACGGGACGTGCGGGACGAATGGGGAAGATGGAGCGAAGGAGAGAATGAGGGAACGGGATGATGAATCTCGACGGTGCCCGCCGCGATTCCTCCTCCAGTTATCGGTCCCCATCAAGCGCGGGGTACCACACATACACATGCGCCTCAATTGAAAATGGAAGGCCAGAACAAAAACATGACAGCCCTGATATCAGCGGTCAAAGGCACACCAGAACACACGTCGTTGCCCGCCGTCTCTCCGAACCCGTCTTGGGGATATATTGCTTCTCACCGCCCACAAGGAAAATTTCTGTCGCATGACGCTTTTTCCAAATAGCAGACCCGACAGGACATCTCCCGTGATCTTATCCGCGACGCCCGTCTCTTTTTGTGCGTGACATCCACCGTCCCTTCTTTTTGTCCCGGTGCAACTTCGTGTTTTCCCAGGTCTTGGCCGTGATGAGCGCCTGGGGCCAAGGAAGCCTCCAAGGAGAAAGGTGACGGCCTCACTGCGGACGGGTTGAAGTCCAAACCAAACGGTGAGGTGGCGACAATTACGGTATCTATGTCAGTTTGCTCGCCTTGACCTCCCTCAAATTTTGTGGCATCGTCACAGAATATATCGTCGAGGGCAGGCCAGTCACTCAGCTCTTCTATTAACGTTGCTCCTTCCTCCAGGTCCATGCCTGGACTGTCCATGATGTTTCCTGTGCAAAACAATGGGGAAAGAGGACGGTGAAACCAGACTGTGCGGCATTGTCTCCCATGGCATGCAGTCGTTCTGACTAGGGGAGGCCGCGATGTCGCGGTGGGCGAAGCATAGGAAGACTTTTTCCGGAGGGAGCAGTGTCCTTCTTCCATCTCTACAAGTACTTTTACGAAAACCACACAAAGCAAGGAGGCGTGCCAACACGAAAAGTCCATGACAACAAACAGTGACCATAAGCCATGACGTCAAACGCTGCATCGCCACACGCTTTAATGAGATTTTACTCGGAGCAACAAATTTTGGAGGGAGGCCTCCTACATTTTTCAACTTGGCCTCGCTGTATCCTGAAAGAGATTAAAAAGATCAATCTTCTCAAAACCAACACACGCTTCAAAACGCAAAATCTCTAGGGCTTACCCTGTTCTTTGACAGGCAAGCCTGGGTCTCTGTGTATCCGCCTGCGGGCAACATTAGTTCTCAGGTTACTTTGTGGATTTGCTGTCCGAGACCGAGTGACTGGCATCCTGGAGGAATGTCCGATAAAATCGGACGACTCGTGTAATGAAAGGCTTTAAATGGGCGTATGCCTCTATTTTATTTCTTTTTCACACGAAATGTACGATGATTGGCACGCGTGTTGTCAGATAGATGGTTTCGAGGGGAAGGAGTCCATTTGGACAACACATTAATGTGTTTCTTCCTGATAGTGGAAGTACTTGACACCCACCCAAACTCGGCGTAAGCCTCCCCCAGCTCTCGGTTCTGCTTACTGAAGAAGAAATGAGCCTCACTCCAGGTACATTTTTCTATCGCCCATGAAATGAAATAAACGCACCTTTTTCAAAAAGTGAGCATAGCTCTATTGCAAATGTAAATGTAATGGTCGAGTAGGACTTAAGGGTGTGAAAAGCACTCCGATTGTGATCAGAGAACTACCATTGAGTTCAGCTCCTTGACCAAGTCTTGTTTTATGCCATCGAGAAATTGTAAAAATATCGCAGCAACAGGCTGCTGTGCGTGCTATCCGATGTGATTATAACGTTTCAATCCGACACGTGCCGCGTAGGATGGAAAGGTACCTTTCGCGTGATTTTTCAAGTGTTCAAAGAAAACGACTGGAAGGACCCTTCCTCGAGCATAGATCTTCGGGTTTAAATATCCTATTGCATTGCCATGTTCAATTGATCTTTCGTTGTGTGTCTGTCAATTCGATGATTATAATCACATTTATGTAGATTTACCCTGCAACAGGGGAGCCCCTTACGTAATGAATCCTTATCGTTCCATAGCACATCAGTATTGGTACAGAAACATCAGTCTTTACATATTTTAGCCATTCAAAACCATTTGAGCTAATCTGATCATATCATCCATTACTTTTGCAACTCATGGCATGCATTTTTCATCACTGTGTGCCAGGGGCCCGAACACTTTTTCCTCATATCAACCTTCACGAAATTTCTTTCACATAGAGCGATAACTGCTGCAACATTAAATTGCATAGCACCGTTTGTGAAGTCATTTACAATGGACACCTTAGTCGACAGTATACAGCGCATAACATGATCAATACCTGCGAAGCTTCCTTAAAATATTCTGGATCACTTTATGCTCCTTCAGAAACCTTTATCCAGCACGTACAGTACTTTTGCCATTACATGTGTCAAAAGTTCCATACTTTATCCTACCTCTCAATATACTACTAGCGTTGATATTTCAGAAGAGGATTGTGCCCCATTTTTTGTTCGCGTCCCCTTTGTTTGCTCGCCCAGCGAACAAATTTGCCAACTTTTTCGTCGGCTAGAAGCGCAGAAACCGTATAAAAATTAATGGCTAGCGTTTCATTGTCGTAAGTCCTATGTACTGCTGAATGACAGGGTCTGGAAGAAGGAGAAATTCGATTATTTTGACAGGATTGTACGCATCTTCCCTTCTACCTGTACGCACCTGCATATTGCAGCACAAATATTTAGTTCGTCTTGACTCATGCCCTAGATGCAGGAGGCACACGTGAGGGAAATGTTTGCGAGCATCACGATCCACCTAAGCAGTATTGGTTCATTTTCCTTTTTCGTTGTCACGGTGTTTAGGTGACAGGTATGCTTTTAAATTCTTACCTGCTTTAAAAGTTTCTTGTGCATGGCGCGGGGCCGAAGATGATGCCTTGTTAGAGGCATTGCACGCTCACACAGCTCACATTCCGATTCCCTGCTCATACTCATCACTTCATCATCAGTTCTTTCTTGGATTACTCGTTCCTTTTGTAGAAGCAGCCACACTTTACTCACAAAGAGCTGTAAACGGTAAAATAGAAACCGCAAATGAGCAGCATTAATTGGCTATCGGAGTCGGAACATAACGAAGAAAGCAAATAAGGGTGACTTATCGCATACTATAAAGCGCTGTATCCCTCATATATAGTTTACATCCATTAGCAAGTATTTAACTTTTTACAGTGGTACATTTGACATTTGA